CTACTACTTGTTCTTGTTGCTTTATCCACTCTATTTCGTTGCTGCTCTATCCAGGTCTTTAACAGCTGAGACCTCCCGGAACTTAGAATATGCGAATATGCTGCTAATTAATACAGTAGTATTTCCTCCGTCTCATAATATAAAATCGTTTTGTAAACTAGAGAGCGACAATTTAGTTTTGTCAACTACTGTACGTATGTATTTAGACGCTTTGTAGGGGTGTGATGTATCACAAACTGAAACGAGATACTCCGAATGAGAAGCATTGATCAGTTGGTGCATATAATTCGTACACTTTTTAGTAGAAAGGGTTTCCCCTGATTTCCATAAAAGAAGCAATCATAGTTCTTACAAGCACCAGAAGAAACCTAACAAAAGTAAACCTGAAGTGGAAGACCAAATATTACAGCAGCCAAATGGTTAGGAGATCCAGAACTATGATGGCTAGTACTACTAGTATAATTCTTATACTGCCTATGTACTCCTTCAGTTTCTTTTTACTCCGCATATAAGATTTGGTCAAAGTCAAAATACACAAAGTTTGATCAAATTTATATAAAAAATATGAACATCTACAATACTGAAACTATATAGTATGAAAATACGTTTCATAATGCATTTGATAATATTGATTCCATATTATGAATGTTTATATTTTTTAATATAAAATTCGTCAAACTTTATAAAGCTTGATTTTGACCAAACTTTATATGTGAACTAAAAAAACGAAGAAAGTACAATTATGATGGAGCGTCTATTAATTAGCATCGCTAGTCGTGACCTCTCTAAGCTTTGGAAACTCAAAATGGAAAGCAAAATCAAAATTCATGTGGCTAGTCGTGACCTCTCGTAATAAGGCCACAGGACTTTGTGCTTTTCATGTCGCTATTTTGGCTTTTGGCTTTCTCTTTTCCTGACATACAGCTTGTACTCCCTCCTTTCCGATTTATAAGGCTTATCTTAAAATTTTAGTTTTTCTATTTTATGAGGCTCAGTTTGATTGTTCCTCATCACATGTTCAGACTTTAAGGTGCATTAAATCATTGCATGCAAGTATTAAGAGAAAACTGACCAATGCATGCACTTTATGCATGCATACATTGCAATTAATGCATTCGTAAACATAATTTTTTGAGAAAAACAAGAGCATTAATTGGGTGCATTTGCAAACTATAAAAAATATTCTACCACTCATCATCTACCTTGGTTGGTGAGATTTTTGAATTGAGCCTTAGGCTGGTCATAGTGGAGAGTAACTTAGACTAGTAACATACATATGTTACTAGTCTATGTTACTACCTTCATAGTGGGTAGTGTCATAGGTGTGGTAACATAGTTGCCTTCATTTATTACTTTGTAGACTCATTATGCATTGGAAACCGCTATGTGATGGTAACATATTATGTTACTCTATTTGCCTTTCTCCTCATTAACTACTTGCCACATCACCAATTTTGCTTATGTGGCATCTATGTTACTACCTATGTTACTCCCACTATGACCAGCCTTATAAACCGGAAAGGAGGGAGTATGTTTCTATCCCTGGTCTTTAATGAAAGGGCGTGGCTATAAGTAAGTCGATTGATTTTGAATTGGGGTCAGTTGATTAGTTTAACACATCGGATGCAGATCCAACGGCGTGCAATCCTTCCTCTTCCTCCAGCTCGTCTCCTTTCCCATACCGCCGCACGGCCGGCCGGCCGAACCGCTTGCCACCACCACCCGCGGCCGGAGCCTTCTTCGGAACCTCCTCCCACCGCCATCCTGCCACCAGCCCTGGCCATCACTCCAGACTCGGCGATGACCGATTTTTTTCCGGCGAACTTGCACCACTGTCGTGCTGCCCCCCTAACCCCCCTCCCC